CCTAACGTCTGCCTCCCTCAGGGACGCAAAGTCTGTTACGCGTGGACCTGGTCTGTATTGTTCACTGTGCGTCCACGGTGCCTGGGGAGTGCCTGTAATGCAGGAAGTACACACAAAAAATATGTGTTCATGAGTGAGGGCAGGCCTGAAGAGCCCAAGAGAAGGACAGTGCTCCAGGGAGGGGTCTGCGTCGGGCTCCCCAGTGTCTGGACTGCATCCCAGCCCCTCCGAGCAACTCAGGGGAGAATTCTGTGGACAGATGCCCCAGCTCTTCCACCCATAGCTCCTACCCCCAGCCTGAGGAATGATTTGACTGTCCCCAGTGTGTGCAGGCAATGGGGAGGTGATAGGAGGCGGTGTCCCTTGTGGCACACTCTTCCTAGCCCTGGCTTTGCCCCCCTTACCTACATAGATGGGCTTCACGGCCTCTTCCAGATAGGCAGGGCACTGAGCTCCGTGGGCCACACTTAAAAAGAAAGGCTACTTTTAGCCTGCACATCAGGAGGAGACGAGCTGGCGGTGGGGGCATGACAGTGTTTTTGTTTGTTTGTTTGTTTGTTTTTTGAGACGGAGTTTCACACTTGTTGCCCAGGCTGGAGTGCAATGGTGCGATCTCGGCTCATCGCAACCTCTGCCTCCCTGGTTCAAGCGATTCTCCTGCCTCACCCTCCCAAGTAGCTGGGATTGCAGGCATGCACCACCACACCCAGCTAATTTTTGTGTTTTTAGTAGAGACGGGGTCTCTCCATGTTGGTCAGGCTGGTCTCAAACTCCTGACCCCAGGTGATCCACCTGCCTCGGCCTCCCAAAGTGCTGGGATTACAGGTGTGAGCCACCGTGCCCGGCCAACAGTGGTTTTTAAAGGGGGAGAGCAGATGAAGGACCTTGGCAGACCGTCCTCTGGGAGGAGACGTGGACTGAGGAATCAACCCTGACCTCAGGCCCCACACCACCCTTTCACCTCAGCCTCACTTTCTCATCAGTAAATGGAACTCGTTCTTGTGTATGTGCCACAGAGGCAATGTAGCAGAAGAGACTAGGGCAGACTTTGGAACTCAGCCATCTGGGAGAAAATTCCAGTTCTGTGATGACCTTGAACCAATGACTGAATTTCTCTTTGTCTCATTTTCTCTTCTGTGAAATGGGAACAATTACAGTGAATTCTGTAAATTCATTCATGTCCCTGACACATGGTGTGAGCTCAGTCATTACCTTTGCCAGAGTTGCGAGGATCTAATGAGATGGCAGATGTGAACACAGCTCCCAGACCTGAAGGTGCTGTATGAATGGGAGGGAGCAGTGAGTGTTATTTGGGAAATATTGAAGACACAACTTCCCTCCCACATTTGTCTGGGGTGGAGCAACAGTTTTACTTATTTAATGTTAAGCTGGAAGATGCACCAAAGGGAGGTGAAAAACTGAAACCGCCAACCGTTTGAGCTCCAGGCTGCACCGAAGCGATGTGGCTGGTGCAGATGGTGAGAGCACCAGTGCAGGCCCACTTCCTCCATGAGTGCCACGCACCTTCCTCACGCTAGCCGGCTTCCCAAGGCTGCAGGAAGTGGGGCCAGGAACAGGCCCTCCGGCTGTGTTGGGGGAGGCCTGGGCAGGGGTTGGCAGCTGCTGGGTGTGAACGGAAGCCTTGGAGGTCCTTGCTAGGTCCTAGGGCCGCCTGCATGGCAGCCCCTCCCCTCTCCCTGTCCAGGCCTGCCCAGGACTAGTTTGTAGCAGACTTCTTGTAGCCTAGGCTCTTGCCTCTTGCAGTAGTGAGTCCCTGTACAAAAGGCATCCAGCGGAGGGAGGCAGGCTGGAGAGGAGGAGAGCCGAATCTTTTCTCAAAGGAAATGCAGTTGTGGTTTTGAGATGTTCATATTTCACATCTGTGGTTGGCGTTTCCCAGGGTTCTCAGAGGTGAATGCAGGGTCAGCCCCATGTCGCCAAATAAGGCTCACAGTGACCTTAGCAACAAGCTTTGCTGCCCATTGGCTGCCACTGCTGCCGCCTGCCAATGCGGCCTCCTGAAGGCCAGCACTGATGCTGAGCTGAAACTTCTGCATGTGCAGCTGCCTCTGTCAGAAATCACCACCCTTGGAAGCAGCCAGAGATAGGTAGAGAGTTCTGGACAAAGGTGGACAAGGTCGGTGGGAGAACTGCCCAGCTGCTCATGTTTCAGAGTCCACCTGGCCAGTGTTCCATTCTCACACAGCACCAAACCAGCACCTTCGGCTTGGTGGCCTGGTCCCAGCTTGCCAGGACAACCCCCGATTCCATCCTGTCAACCTTGGACTCTATAATGGTCTTCATTTCAGAGCTCTGCTCATTTTAGTTCCACTGGGTTCTCCCTTGTGCTTGGCACTTGACTAAGCTCCTTCTACACATTCTGTCTTTTACCTCTCTCAACAACCCTGTTAACCAATTAGCCCCATTTTACAGGTGCAGAAACTGACGCCAAAGGAAGTCAGTAATGGCCCAGGTGACTGAACCACTAATAAGTGGGGAAGTCAGAATTTAAACCCAATTTAAACGGGCCTAGGTCCCATGCTATTAACTGTTGCACTGTATTGCCAGATACTCAATGTCCGTGCAGCTCAGTGGCTTCACTCTGTGACATGGGGATGACAGTACCGTACCTCACAGGGTTGGGGTGAGCATTGTGTGGAGTGACTTATGTCCAGAAGCACACCTTTGCACCAGTGGCCTTGGCACCCCCAAGGTATGCTCCACAAACAGCTTGCACGTTGTTTTCTCACAGCGTGTGCTGCTCAAACATTGAGGTTTGTGGACCGGACTTCTCTGTAGCCCTTGTATTTGGTTTTCACTTCCTCTTTCTTGACCTTCTCCCACCCCCACCCAACTGCAAGGTAGGGAGGCTACTGAGGGGCCAGGCTGTGGGTTCCAGAGGGCACAGGGCTATCTGGGATGGAGGGGACAGGGTTCTCAAGACAGAAATGGGAAGGTCACACTGTAAGGGCAGACATACCCCATTTCTTCTACCCAGACAACTGGATGTGATACCACTGTTTCCCTGAGAAATGCTTTCAGGATTAAAAAGTATTTAAGTAAAGAAAAAAACACATATAAGTGATCTGGTAAAGATGAAAACATGGCTGATTGGAAGGTAGTGAATTATGTCAATTGACTTCACAATCAGTTACAGATCGAACTCCTTGTTCTACTCTTTTCCCCCTCCTCACTACTGCACTTGACTAGTCTTTTTTTTTTTTTTTTTTTTTTTGAAACAGAGTCTTGCTCTGTCACCCAGGCTGGAGTGCAGTGGCGAGGTCTCAGCTCACTGCAGCCTCCACCTCCCAGGTTCACGCTATTCTCCTGCGTCGGCCTCCTGAGTAACTGGGACTACGGGCACCCGCCACCACACCTGGCTAATTTTTTGTGGTTTTTTTTTAGTAGAGATGGGGTTTTACCATGTTAGCCAGGATGGTCTCAATCTCCTGACCTCATGATCCGCCTGCTTCGGCCTCCCAAAGTGCTGGGATTACAGGCGTGAGCCACCATGCCCAGCAACTAGTCTTTAAAAAAATGAATAACATAAAAATGTTTAAAAGATGAAACCATATATATACTCTATAACCCAAGAGTCCCACTCATCAGAATCTTCTCTAACCCCACACTCTTATCCATGTGCACCACAATATCCACATAGCACCAGAAAATGTCCAAATGACCATCAACAGTGGAGAGTACAAATAAATTGTGCAGTGTTCCTGGAGTGAAATGAACTACAGCGACTTGCAATAACTGTAATATTGTCATATTGGATAATAATACTGTAATAACAAATGATTCATCAATGAATAAAACCTACAAAAGAATGCATACAGTATAATTCCTTTTAGCAACAATCTAACAGCTGGCAAAACTGAACTGTATTGTTAAGGATACATGCAGAGAAGGTCAAACTACAAAAAGCACAGAATTATTACAAATGTCTATTTGCTCATGCACAAGGGAGGGTTGGGGTTGTGATTAGTAGGGGAACATGGAGGTGCTTTGGGGATGCTAGTATTGTTTTATCTCTTTAACTTTGGGAGATTACCCTGGATTATTGGGTAGAAACTGGGGTGGGTGGGCCCAATGTAATCACAAGCATTCTTAAATGGAGAAGAGAGAGGCAGAAGGGTCAGAAGCAGAAGCAGAGAGATTGCAATATATGAAAGACCTGGCTAGCCAGTGCTAGCTTTGAAGGTGGAGGAAGGGGCCGCAGGCCAAGGAATGTAGGCAGCTTCTAAAAGCTCGAAAGGGGAAGAAAGGAAAGAGATTCTCTACTAGAGCCCCCAGGAAGGAATGCAGCCCTGCTGACACCTTCAGTTTAGCCCAGTGAGACCTGTTTTAGACTTGTGACCTACAGAACTATAAGAAAAGAAATTTGTGTTGTTTTAAGCCCCTAAGTTTATGTTAATTTATTAGAGCAGCAACAGGAAGCTGGTCCACTGGGAAACCATCTGGGATATGCAGCCACCCAAAATCCCGGCTCTTGGTTAGATTCAGCCTTACAAGGCTCCACAGCCCCTCTGCGAAAGACTCCATTCCCTCTTGGAGAAGCTCAGACTCTAGAGCCCTGGGCAGGGAATGGGCCTCCATGGCATGGGGGTGATCAAGAAGGATGCCCCCCAGGACAGTGCCTCTGCTGGACATCTCTACAGAAAACAGTATATCCCTCAGTGGCATGAGAAGATCCAATAGGGTCACCACACTCCACAACTGCAGGGGAAGCTGTTCACATTTTAGTCTACGCAGCCTCTGGTGGCCAAAGATTAAGTGAGAACACTTTTGCTGTGTGACCTGAAGTTCATGGTCAGTAAGTTGTAGTTATTATTATGCACGACTTAGGGGGAAGCAGGGGTCACTGCAGAGCAGCAGTGGCTTTATAGAGATTTGCTTTATGATTATTTGTTAAACTGAACGTACATTCTGTGTATTTTTCTGCATAATTATTGTTTCACAATTTTTAAAAAGTGTACACGCACATGAATCTTCTCTAGCCCTGAACAGCACAGTGAACGGACAGGGCAGCAGATGAGCTCTGCCCCACGCCGGCCCTGTTTCAGAACAGCACTCCAGAGTGCCACACTGCTTGCTGAACCACAGCTGTTACTGCAGATTGAGGAGCCTCAGAGGGAACAGAAGATAAAGATCATTATGGAATTTAGGATTGCAGGACATTCTTTGACATTTCATAACAACCAGGGAAGATCAACTGTGGTTAGGGGAACAGGACAGGAAGAAACCATGGCCAAGGCCTGTCTGGCAGGACTTGAAGGGGCAGAGGGACCCCTGCAAATGACCCTGCCTGGGACCCAGCCCCACTTGGCCCCTGTATAGCACTGATTCAGCTGGGGCTTTTATCCCAGGATCCCCTCTTCAGGGACGCCTGCATTTGTTGATTATCTGCCATATGCTTTGTCCCTGCAGAATACAAGGAAAAAAATAGCCTTCAGCAGAGGCTGAGACAGGAGCCTACAGGATGCACAGTAAAGGGTCCAAGGCTCAGGATGAGGCTTTCCTGACTTTCTTCCCTATGGGACTGACGTTCTCTACTGGTACAGGCCTTGTTTTATTCATCCTTATGTCGTTCACCTGGAATGGGCCCAGGGTGACAGTTGTTATAATAAGTGTTTGTCAAGTGAGCAAGTGTGTGGAGCGTGCACTGTAGAGAGTCAGGTCTCTATAGGATCCTGCTGGAGAGGCAGCCCACTGGGCTCGCCACTTCTCCAGAGGAGGGACTGGTCCCTTGCCAGACAGCCCTGACAGCTGGAGCAGGCTTCCTCAGGGGTGCCTGGAACTGCTGACCACGGCTGTTGCCCACTGACCCCTCTTGGGAAGAGCAACCTGTCAGGTGTTAAAGATGGCCTTCCTTTCTCTTCTCCAAGCTAAACATGACTAGTTTCCATCTCACCATCTTCTGGCCCTCAGCAGACTGGTTATCCAGTCTGGAGAGGCAACAGTAGTATCCAGATGTGATCTGAACAGACAGAACCATGGATGCAGACACAAAATTCAGGTTTGTGTGCTTCGGCAGTCACTATATGCAAATTGTAATGGGGACAGTGGCTGGCATGGCCTCCAGCACTGTGGGGAGGATCAGGGTGTCTGCCCATCATTTTTCTCTCTTTGATAGACACTATTTACATAGACACTGTTTTGGTGTAAAACCCTACGTTGTAGCCCTTGTCAACAGTGTTATGTTTCTCCTCAACTGTCCCGGAAACTCCCTGAGTAGGCAGGAGGTTTCCTGGCTGGCTTGTAGGCACTCCATACCTGTTAGCTAGTATTATTTATTTGTTGTTTTATTATTTGAATGGACAATCATTCATGTCATTTAATGAGCATGGGCTATGTGCCAGAAACCACCAGGTGCCAGAATGCAACGCTGAACTACAATAGACCTGTCCTTGGCCCCCAGAGCTCCCAGACACGCTAGGAAGACTTGTTGATTGAATGATAAACCTTGATGGAACTCATGATTAACATCTTCACCACCAGACATCATTGAGTGCTCTCTGTGTGTTCAACTCAGAACATACCCTTCCTGTACTCAGAGACTAGAATGTGAGAGTCATTAAGGGAGACACCATTGTGGGAGTGAGAAAATCCTGGACTTGGAACTGACTAGGGATCACCTCCCAACTCTACCATGAACCCACTGTGTGACCACGGGCAAGTTTACTTGTCCTCTCTGAGCCTCAGTTATCTTATCAGTGAAATTGGGTTAATAATATATCTCTCAGTGGCACAAGAGGATCAAATAGGGTCACCACACTCCACAACTCCAGGAGATGCTGTTAACATTTTAGTCTATGGATCCTCTGGTGGCCTCAGATTTAAATGAGAGCACTTTTGCTATGTGACCTGAAGTTAATGTCAATAAGTTATAGCTATTGTTATGTATGATGTAAGCAGGGGTCACTGCAGGCCAGCAGGCTGACACAATTTGGCCAGGCTTTGTTCTTCAAGGAAGGGCAGGGCTCTGAGAAGTACAGACTATGATGCAGGTGAAGGCCAGGAGGCAGGGACTCCCAGGGCAGGTCTGGAAGGAGTGAGGCTGGTGAGGGAAGTGGTCAGCAACCTCAAGGCATGAGTAAGGCGCTTGCCCTTCTCTCCAGGCACAGAGGAGCCGCTCGAAGCTGGGCACAGAGCTGGGATGGATGAGACCATGGCGAATACTTTACTTATTAAGCTGCAAAGGACCCTAGGGAGCATCTTATGCAGCATCTTGTCTTACCAGGTAAACAAAGGCCAGGGAGGGAAAGTAGTGAGTCTCCAGAGTCACACAGCAAGGACCAGGGCCCAGACCAAGACTCCCACCCCTGCAGAGCCCAGCTCAAATTATTCCTTGAGCCCAGTTTGTGGCTCCACAAAAGAAAGTTCCTGGCACTTTTTATATTTATTTATAATTTTTTTCTGATTATAAAATTATTTTATAATTATATGCCAGTCAAGGTGACTCACACCCATACTCCCAGTACTTTGGGAGGCCGAGGAAGGAGGATTACGTGAGCTCAGGAGTTCGAGACCAGCATGGACAACATGGCAAAATCCTGTGTCTACAAAAAATTAGCTGGGCGTGGTGGTACATACCTGTAGTCCCAGCTTCTTGGGAGGCTGAGGTGGGAGGATCACTTGAGCCTGTGAAGTCGAGACTACAGTAAGCTGAGATTGCACCACTGCACTCCAGCCTGGTCAACAGAGTGAGATTTTGTCTCAAAAAATAAATAAGTAAAAATAATTATAGGTCATCATGGAACATTTTTAAACTATAGAAATATAAAAAAAATTTTTATATTATATCACCTGTAATCCCACTATCCAAAGGTAATCACCTTTAGTATTGTGATGTATTCTCCCCATCTGTATTCCACAAAAAATTATATATTAATTAGATTTGAATTGTGTTGTATATAGTTTCACGTCCCCCTTTTCCCCTGTAAAATTGTGCTTTATGAGAAGGAGGGATTGTTTTTAATGTAGAAGAAACTCTAGAAAACCTTTTTTTTAAAAAAAAAAAAAAGCAAAGCCCCACAGTCTGCAGTGGTTGGAGGACATCCTGTGGGGCTGCACGGTGGCTCTGTCGCACATCCGGTGTGAGCTGCAGGGTGGTGGCAGTGGCTGGGTCCTTTTCTCCCCTGGCCAGGCTACACCCTTCTGCCTATGGGTAAGACAGAGTTTTGAAGCGTCTGCGCTTACCCCTTCCTTCCTAACACAGGATGCTGTGATCATTCACCCTATCAAAAGGCATGTGGGGTTGTGATCGTTACTGTTTGCATCTCAAGCTGTGCAGCACAATGTTTTCTCGTGTGTTATCTCACCTGAGACTCACACATCCTGTGAGACAGATAAGACAAATGATGTTGTACCCATTTTACAGATGAAGAAACTGAGGCTACAAAAGGTCTAGTGGCTTATTCGAGGCCACATAGCTAGTAAGTGGCAGAGCAGGGACTTTATGCAGCTCTAGCTGGCATCCAGTAACTTTTTTTTTCCTCTAAACTTTTTTTTTCTGGTAGTCCTAGCTTTTCCAGAGCTAAACTGAGTCCCCTTAGTATCCCCTTATTAAGGCCAAGGACTGAGAGTGTTATGAGTATTACGGATGTATGGAGGGGCCATGCAACTCCTTCCTGGGAGTCTTAAGCCAAGCCCTGTGGCCTCTGACTAGTTGTCCTAGGTGGCCTGACCTCAGCTCACTGAGGTTTGGGGAGGGGGCTCAAAGAGGCAGCTGCTTCCTGTAGAGAGGTCTAGCAGAAGCACTATCCTGGGGGCATCCTTCTTGACCCCCTCCATGCCATGGAGACCCATTCCCTGCCCAGGGCTCTAGAGTCTGAGCTTCTCCCAGAGGGAATGGAGTTTTTCACAGAGAGGCTGTAGAGCCTTCTGAGGCTGAGTCTAACCCATGCGCAGCGATTTTGGGCAGCTGCATCCCCCAAATGGTTTCCCAGTGGATCCGTTTCCTATTGCTGCTCTAACAAACTATCATAAACAGGGCTTGAAACAACACAATATTTTTTTTTTTTCTTCTTCTTTTTTTTTTTTTCCTTTTTGATACAGGGTCTTGCTCTGTCACTCAGGCTGGAGTGCAATGGTGCAACCTTGACTCACTGCAACCTCTCCCTCCTGGGCTTAGACCATCCTCCTACCTCAGCCTCCCAAGTAGCCGGGACTAAAGGCATGTGCTACCACACCTGGCTAATTTTTTATATATTTTATAGAGACAGGGTCTCACTATGTTGCCCTGGCTGGTCTCAAACTCCTGGGCTCAAGCAATCTGCCTGCCTCAGCCTCCCAAAGTACTAGGATTACAGGTGTGAGCCACTGCACCTGGCCCATTTCTTTTCTTATAGTTCTGTAGTCAGAAGTCCAAAACAGGTCTCACTGGGCTAAACTCAAGGTGTCAACAGAGCTGCATTTCTTCCTGGGGGCTCTAGTGGAGAATCCCTTTTCTTCCTTTCCCTTTCCAGCTTTTAGAAGCTGCCTGTATTCCTTGACCTGCAGCCCCTTCCTCCACTTTCAAAGCCAGCACTGGCTGGTCAGGTCTTTCACAATGTGATCTCTCTGGTTCTGACCCTTCTGCCTCCTTCTTCTTCATTTAAGAACCCTTGTGATTACACTGGGCCCACACCAATAATCCAGGGTAGTCTCTGTATTTGCAAGTGAGCTGGTTAGCAACCTTAATTCCATCTGCAGTTTTAATTCCTCTTTGCCATGTAACAACATATTCATAGGCTCATGCATTAGAACATGGACCTCTTTATTCCACTGTGGACCAATATTCTGCCTTCCACACCCAGCCTCTCTTCTGAGTTTTCCAAGGGCCCCCCATCCTCAGGCATCCTCAGGCATCATCAGGCATAGACAGCAGGCTGGGCCAGACCACAGCCAGGATGTTCCCGCCACTATCAGAGAGGTCCTTTCTGCCCAGGTCCCCTCCCACCTGCCTGCCTCTCTTTCAGCTCGTTCTGTCCTGGATTCCTCTTCCTTCATCCTCTGCTCCCAGTCTTAGGTAGAGAGGAGCTGGGCAGGAAGTGCCAAGGGGTGTGGAGATGGAGGAGGGGGAAGGTAAGGCCTGAGGCACCAGGGCTGTGGGAGCCCAGGGAGCTGAGGCCTTTCAATCCAGACACCCTGCACTTCTTAGGGTCTGGGGCCTCTGGGGACCACACACTGAGCTCCAGGGCTGGAGGGGTGGCCAGCCAAGTATTAGACCCTTCCACCTGTATGTCCCTAGCTGCCCTTAACAGCCATAGTTCACCTGGCCCTTTTCTTGGGTGATAACAGACTGTCTGCCTTCATTTATTCCCTTTCCCCTGTCCCTCCCTAGGCCTCAGGCTGGAACCTTATAGTCCCAGCTTCTCAGGAGGCAAGGCCCCAGCCATGCCTCTGTCCCTGAGCTGCTTGGTGTGGGCATGGGGGATCCAGAACCCCAGCAGGAGGGCAGATGGCAAGCACAGGGCAGGAGGGGCTGGACAAAGCCTTTGGCCCTCAGGGAGGGTGACCAACTGGCCCTGGTTTGCCTGGGACTTGCCCAGTTTTAGCACTGAAAGTCCCAAATCCTGGGAAACTCCTTGGTCCTAAGCAAACTGAAACAGTTGGTCAGCCTATCTCCAAGCCCTTTCACACCTCCTAATCTATTCTAGATCACCTCTGCAGCCTGTACAGCTGGGCCTTTGGACTCCTGGATACTAGAGAGACCTGGGCGCTGAGGAAGGGTCCCGAGCCAGTACCAGGAAAGGACAGACTCCTGCTTGCAGCATTCCCAGCAGAGATATCGCCTGTGGACACCACGTCTGTGTCTGCATATGGCAGAGCTCCCACATATATGCACAAGGGAGTGAAAAAATGTGTTTGCACCCCAGTCTCTAAAAATTCAATAGCCTGGTTACTTCTGGGTGGTATATTGCAGGTGACTTTAATACATGTTATTTGCTCATCTGTACTTCTTACTCTTTGTACAATTAAACCATGTTCCTTTTACTTATGTACATTTTTAATAAAAGAAAGTTGTTAATGACTCAGCCTTCTATCTCCAGTCCTGCCGAAGGAGACAAGCGGTCATGCTGCATGTTGTACACACACTGGCCCTTGGTCTGGGGCCTTTGACCTTGGCTGCTGGTTGGTCATGGCCTGTTCTGCCCAGAGTTCTACTGCAGGGGCAGAGTTGGTTATTTCTCTGTGCCTTTTTGCCTCTCAGCCTGCTTGCTCCTCTGGACCCCAGAGTCTAGCCTGGTCCCCCCAGGAGAGGGACTCAGAAAGTGCTACTATAGAGACATGCTAACTACGTCTCTACTGAGCAGCAGGAGATGCTCTGAAGTGCCAATCCTGGCTGAACGCTGTGAGACTATGGAAGAGATCAGCTGCTTGCCCCTGGGGAGCTTCCAGTCTGGTTGGCGAGATTGGGTACCCTGCAGCCCTTGTGGGGACTGGCAGACAGGAAGGGACAGGCCCTAAAGGGTGAGGCTTTGCCTGTGAGGGCTGTCACCAGTCAGAGAAGGGAGGGCCCCAGGGCTCCACTGCACACATCTTAGGATGGCCGGAGACCAAAACTGGGGTCCTCCTCAGTGACCTGAGGCAGGCCCCACAAGCTTGGGGGTAGACGGTCTCCTGGGCCCAGAACTCTGGCTGCTTGCCACCTATGACAGAAGAATGGTGATGAACACTCACCAGGCTGTTCCAAGTCTTTGAAAGTTGGACACCCCCAGGTCCTCCTCCCTGCCCCACCCCACCCCCACCCCATATGGGAATGCCAGGCTGTATCCTTCGCTGTGACCTATCCCAACTCCAGCTCCTCTCCGCATCCCAACAAGCCAAGCAGGAGCACTTGGAGGGGAGCCCTGGGTCCCCAGCAGAAACAGCCCTCCACTGCCCCCACAGTCAGGTCATCAGCCCCACCCCAGCCCCCACACCGGTCCACCGTTGCCCTGGTGTGGCCAACATGACAGGACTTCTTGTAATTCTGGCCTAATGGCTCCCACATCCCCAAACACCAACTCCATGTCCATATGCCTCCCTTGTTCCACAAAGCCGGCTTTCTCCAAGAAACCAGAGAAGCACATGATCTCTGCCACAACTCTCCTGGGGCCTCCCTCCTGATCTGAGATCCTGGGTATATCCCGTGGCCTCTCTGAGCGAAGGTAGAGCTGAGTTGTGTGGGTTTTTTGCTTTTTTAACCACTGTGTAAGAACTCACTACTTGGGCCCCAATTCTGGACAAATTCCAGATTGACAGTGTGAGGGAGAGGTGGTAGCAGAACTGGACATCCCCACAACATTGTTGCTTTGAAGGAAAGAAGAAGGGCAGAAACAGGAGGGGACCCAGCATTGGCCTGAAATGGATGCAAAGGCCTCACCCAGGCTGCCCTTCTGGGCTGGCACAGGAGGGCAGGAGAGAGCCTTCCCTAAAGGAAGACTGCAGGTGAATCCCAGTGCCCGCCTGATGTAGGGTAGCAACTGGCC